CATCAGAACTCTAAGCACCTGAGAGAGAGTGGGCACCTCCCAGAACATTATATTGTGCCACGCCCAACAGAAATACTCCACTTGGATAACATTTACAATCAGCTCCTCAGTTGCTCATTCCACCACTGAGTTTACAATGACTTATGGGTAGAAAAGCCATACTAAGTAATTTACTACACTGCACACACTCACTACCTATCTCCTTTCCTGTTGTTAGCCTCCCATATGTCCCTGCCATCCTTGGTAAATGGAGCTTATTATTAGGTCCCTGGAGTCTGAATGATAATGCTGTCACTTTAAATATCCAAAATAGCCACCACTTGTAAACATTTAAAATTGCTGCACTCTCAGTCACTTTAAATATCCAAAATACCACCGCTTCTAAACAATCAAAATGGCTGCATCCTCCAGACAGCTCAAAGTCCACAGCTCAGTTTGTCTCCTTCCTTGTTGTTTCCCTTCCTAGTCATAGGCCACCAGGGCAGTCATCACTGCAGCCCCTGGTGACCAGGGTTGATCTTTAGGTCAAGTCTCAGGCCTCAACACCACTTGGAAATATTCAGGCTGTTGGTGTTGTCAGAGTAACTGACAGTTCACAGCTCTGTCTGTCCCCATACTTACTGTTTTCATTCAGGTTTTTTCCACTAGTTGGTGCCTAATCCACTTCTGTATACTTCCTTTCAAAGCTCAAGGCTCCAGGATTATTTTCTGTATCTCTGTCAGCTGGGTTTGTTTTTCTTTGTTGCAGAGGGTCTGTAGTTTGTCAGCCTATTTTGCCATCTTACCAGAAGTCCCTCCCCTCCTCCTTTTTAAAATTGATTTGTTATTGAGTTTTACGTGTTATTTATATATTTTGGTAGCACTATAATGAAAGCATTGGGCTGCTAACCAAAAGGTCATTGGTTCAAACCCACTAGCTGCTCTGCAGGAAAAGATGAAGCAGTCTGTTTCCATAAAGATTTACAGCCATGGAAATCCTATGGGCAGTTCTACTCTGTCCTGTAGAGTCACTATGAGTCAGAATTGACTCGATGGCAGTGTTTTTTTGTTTTTTTTTTTAATATATTCTGGATATTAAACCCTTATCAGATATATAATCTAATGTTTTCACCCATTCTGTAACTGATAATCACTTTCTTGATACATAGAGAAATTTTATTTTGATGAAGTCCAATTTTTTTTTCTTTTCCCATAATCTTGGTGTTTTCTCTAAGAATCCATTGTCAGATTTAAGATCCTTAAGATTTAGACTTTTTTTTTTTTTTCTAAGAGTTTTACCATTTTAAAACCTAACCCACTGCCATCATATCAATTCTGACTCATAGTGGCCCTAGAGGACAGAGTAGAACAGCCTCATAGGGTTTCTAAGGCTTTAAATTTCTATGAAATTTCATCTTTCTCCATGGAGTGGCTGCTGCTTTTAAACCACTGACCTTTTGGTTAGGAGCCAAATGCTTTAACTAGGGCAATATATGTTGGAATTAACATTATCATTTGCTGATTACATGAAGGTAACACATTGTTTATTTTTCTACCAATTTTTCAGACTCAGTGTCTCCTAGATTCTGATGTCATGAGGTCTGCTGGTTTGGAAATAATAGCTATTATCTTCCTCAGATGGGAGTGGGGATCCTGAGAAACTGTTCTCTCCTTTGTTTCTGAAACCTCACTTTATTCATTGAACACGTTTAGATCAACCGATCCCCAACCAACTGGTTTTAGCCAAGTCTTTGGTTCTTTTCTCCAGGGGGATCCCGCAGGCTTTTGGATGATGTAGACTTCTGTTTTCACCAAGTGGGCAGGGGAGTTCCCTCAGCACTGCCTACCTCCTCAGTGGCTTCCAGGCCATACACTTCATTCGAGTATCTCTAGGAAGCTGGAGCTCAGAATTCAGTCCCTCAGGTTCACTGTCTTATGCTGCTGCCTCTGCTGGATTCTGAATCTTGATAAATGTCAGAATTCCCATGAAAGTGGCTGGCCCAAGAAATAGTAAAAATGGGAGTGTAAATGCAAATACAGATACTGTCAGTATTGGGCACAACCAGTAAATTTTGAGGCAGGTTAGAGCTTTCCGCGGAAACCTGTTGTAGTGCACCAGTCTTGTCCACCAACTTCAGGACACTCCAACATCCCTCTTCCATCTTCCACTCCATGGCCCTATCTGGAGTCTTCTCTCTCTTGTATCTGCCTGAACCAGAGCTCACAAACTTGTCACTGGAACTTCAGTCTACACATATTTAAAGAACAAGATAATGGTTATTACCTCCTGGCTATGCATGTAGGATCAGCAACATTGTCGTGTGGTGTGTCCATCTGGTTTTTGTAACTTTGGAGAACAACTAAAATAATAGCTCCAAACATTTCAATAAGGAGCCCTGATGACAATGGTTAAGCACTTGACTGCTAACCAGAAGGCTGTTGGTTTGAACACACCCAGCGACTGAACAGGAGAAAGACTTAGAAATCTGCTGTCATTATGATTTCAGCCTAGGAAACCCTGTGGGGCTGTTCTGTCACATGGGGTTGCTTTGAGTCAGAATGTACTGCACAGACAATGGGTAAACATGTCTGTGATCCAAATAGACTGCATTCACAGAACCTGGGTGCAGCCCCTTTAAGAGTAGAGAAGGCCCGCCCCGTACCCAGGACTACATTTCCCCAGCACCTCTCGCAGTAGCGATTGGCGTTTGCCCAGAAGGCCGGAGCACAGGCCCGCACCAAGGTAGGTGGCTCGGTGGGAACTACGTTACCCGGAAGCCTCTGCGACGCGCTGAGACACTGAACCAACGAACGCTCGGGAGAGAGTGCGTGAGTGCGTGGGGAGGATATCTGGGCGTGGCTTCTGGCGTCCTTCTCGTGGCGGACATTTTGTCTGCTCTGGAGTGGAGCCAGCCGAGCAAATCGTTTGAAACGCCTTAGGGAGCCGAGGTGTCAGGATCGGGACGTCACGTGAGAAGTCGTTGTCTACTGCACAGAGGCGGGTCTGAGGCTCGGCGGTGGCTGACCCCACTTTTGAGGACGGCTCTGCATGGGTTCTGACCTGGGCGCCCGCCTCCTACGACACGGCGCTGCCACCACCCGCCGCCTTGGTGATGGACCCGGCGCAGGTGGGTGCTGCCTTCCCCAGGCCCTCATCCTGTAACGTTCCTAGTGAGGGACGCCTCCTCAGATCGCTAAAGCGCCGGCCCTCGGAGTCCAGTACAAGGGGCGTTGGTGGGTGGGGTCCACGTTTATGACAGCCGTTCTGACGAAGTGTGGGAGCGTGTTCAGACAGGCCAGTATGAGCAAAGGCTTGGGGGTGCGACTGAGCTGGGACATTGGGGGGAGCAGGGGAGCCCCTCTCGTCTGCAGGGAGGCACACCTGGAATGGCGGGTTAGACCTGTGTGGCGAGGAGGCGGGGCGCCAGGGAAGGTTAAGAACCGACAAGGGACATGATGACAGCGATTTTTGAAAGATTCCATCATTGGCTGAGGAGCGCTGGTAACGCGGTGGTTAAAGCATTTGGCTATTAACCAAAAGGTTGGCGGTTTGAACCCTCTAGCGGCTCTGGGAAAAGAAAGATGAGGCAATCTACTTCCTTGAAGATGGATGGCCTTGGAAAGCCTATGGGGGCAGTTCTGCTGCGTTCTTTAGAGGCACTGCGAGCCAGAATCTACTGGACTGCAGTGGCATTGGTTTTATAGTTGGCTGAGGACAGATCAGACCAGGAGAGCACCAGGACAGGAGGACAGGTAAGGGTTCAGAAGACAGGCCCAGGGATTTGAGATGGTTCTGGCCAGTGTCTGCAGAAGGAGAGTGCTGGAGGGCGCTGGAAGCCTGATGTGGACACAGAGATGTGGCGTACTGTGTATCTACTCTCCTCTGATACTTTCACTGTCACCTTCGGACCCAAACAACCAAACCCAATGCCATCTCATAGCGATTTTATAGATAGAATAGAACTACCCCATGGTGTTTCCAAGGAGGTAAATCTTTATGGAAATTGCCTCATGTTTCTCCCGCAGAGAGGCTAGGGGTCTGAACCAATGACATTCACGTTTGCAACCGAGCACTTTAACCACTGCATCACCAAGGTGCTCACTTTGGGACTGCCTGCCATAAAAGAAGCACAAACTGTAAACCTACTCCAATACCAGGAGTAATTCTACTTCATTCAGTCTTTCCAAAGCCACAAAATATGGCAAATACCATACGAGACTATTCCAGTGCTTTACATGTTTCTGACGGTATAAATGTTCTGTGCAATGTGTGTGCAGCCTTAGTGGGGCCATGTTGCCTCACAGCCTGTTCTTACCAAATGATTTTTCTAAGAGATGTTGCCCCAACACAGGTAGTATTTCTGCTCACACTCTTCTCTGTTATTTCTGTTGAGTCCATTCCCATGCCTGGTGGACCCCATGTGTGCAGAGTAGAACTGCTCCATGGGGTTTTCAAGGCTGTGACCTTTTTGCCAGACCTTACTTTCCAGGACTCTGGCTAGGTTTGAGCTGCCAGCCTTTTCAGTTTGTTGTCTAGCACTTAATTATTTTTTCCACTCAGGAATTCCTCACTCTCTCTGTATTATTCTATTTGTTGTTTCCAGCCCATGCTCAGTGTTTTTTGTTTTCTGTTTTTAATGAGTTACAAACAAGCAAGCAGATAAGAAAGTTCACTTGTTTTCAAGTTTCTGAGTGATTCCCCTCTGTGTCCTTTATCAAATTGATAGGGTGGGAAGATTGGGGAGGTCGTGGACAGACTTTTCATGGACCTTGATGTCCTCCTCATTACAGGGTCCTATGCTCTTCGAGGATGTGTTTGTGCACTTCTCCCAAGGGGAGTGGGAGCTCCTTGATGAGGCTCAGCGACTCCTGTACCGCGATGTGATGGTGGACAACTTTGCACTTACAGCCTCGCTGGGTAAGGGCCCCTTCGCCATTGCGATGGCTGATGACTCACTGGGAACCATTCTGTCCCTTGTATGGTTGGATTATGGACACTTTATCTGACCCCAGTTTATCCTACCTACCAGGAGTAAGTGCTTTAGATGCCAGGCTGAGCTGTGTGGAGCATCCCTGTCTCTCCCTGAGCATCCCTGAGGTCGTGCAGTCAAGGGTGTGCAGGTCACTAGAGTTGCAGTCTGCCCCATGGATACCATTTGTCTTGGGTACTTTCTGCCTGTGAATCTGTCCAGAACCATGGCACCTGAGTGCCCAAGGTTCTCTCTGACATATTCTGGGGCCTGACTGCCAGGATTTGCAGACACTGGCATGATTTTTTGCAGAGGAGCATGGGCTGTTCCTGTAAAACTTTCCTTTGAAGTTCTTTTTCTAATAGTTTTCTTACCTGTTGTCTGTCATAATGTGGGTTGCCCTCAGCCAGTGCTGGACACTCACCTGTCCTGTCCTATCCTTCTCTTAGGAATTGCATCTTCCAGATCACACATAGGCACTCACCTGGAGCAAGGGGAAGAGCCCTGGGTGACTGACCAGGTGGATATGATTCTAGCCCCAGCAGGAAAGGCCCAGAGAGGACCTGGTCCTGGTGAGTGGATGCCAGGGGTGGGTTCAAATGGTCCCAGGAACACTGACTTTTCACACCAGCATTTGGTTCTGAGGCCAGCCACACCACATTTCTACCCTTCTGACCCCATTCTTGACACGTAGTGATATCATTTCCAGTGTGACTTCTGGCCCCTGGCCACCCCCCACCTCCCTGGCCTCTACTTCTCCCCCACTCCTCTACATGGCTTAGTCTGCAGTGCTCTCCAACTCTGGCCTTAGTGTGTCCACATCCGTAAACGATCCTTAAACACCAGCCACTGCCTTGTCATTGGGCTTTTCTGGGCCAGGACACACTCTTCAGTGCAGCAGTCCCCCATCACCAGCAGCAAGGCCTCCTGAAAGCCATTTGCTGAAGAGTGAGTCAGAGACCTGCCTCTTCTGCTGCATTGCACTTGTGCCCTCACCCCTAGGAGTTCCCCCACTAATTCTGTGACCTTCACTGCAGTGATCAATACTACCCAGCAGCCCCTTCCTCAGCCTTGGCCCAGCTCCCTCATTCATCATAGATGGGTCAACACATGTTTATGATGGAGTGGCTCCCGCTCACCAGTATCAGTATGAACTTCACCAGCATTTCTGTGCTTTCAGGCCGCTGGCATAGAGTGGAGGAAGACAAGGCATCTTCTAAGCAGAGTGACTCTGCAGAAGGAATATCACAGGCCAGGACTCCCCTGACAGGTCTGTCCACCCAAAAGCCCCAGCACTATGACTTACATGGTTCAATGCTGAAAGACATTTTGTATCCGACTGAACACCAGGGAGGCGAAGCCAGACACCAACCCTGCACATGTTGGGCATGTGAGAAGCAGTCCTGGCTCAGTGCAGACATTCCCCAGCACCAGAAGCAGCACAGTGGAGAGAAACCCTTCAGGAGCAAGGAGGGCAGGCACTCTGGAATGAGCTGCAGAGTTGACATGCCAGAGGAGGCCTACACATGTGAGGAGGGTGGAAAAGACTTCCAGACCCCCTCTGGGCAGCTTCAGCCTAAGGTCCCTCATAGCGAGGTGGAACCCCACAAGAGTACTGGGGGTGGGAGCACCTCTTGCACTGGGCAGAGGCATTGCAAGTGCAGCACATGCAGGCTAGTCTTCAGCCCCAGAGGCGTACTTGTTCAGCATCAGAGACTCCAAGTCCCTGGTACGGCTTACGAGTGCAGTGACTGTGGGAAGTTCTTCAGCTGCAACTCCAGTCTTGTCCGACACCAGAGAGGCCACATGGGGGTCAGGCCTTATATATGCAGCAAATGTGGAAAAACCTTCAACTGCAGAGACACACTTGTTCGGCACCAGAGAGTCCACACTGGAGAAAGGCCGTATGAGTGTAGTGAATGTGGGAAATTCTTTAGCCAAAGCTCTGACCTTTTTAAACATCGGACAGTTCACAGTGGTGAAAAGCCTTATGTGTGCAGTGAATGTGGGAAGTTCTTTAGACAGATCTCTGGCCTTATTGAACATAGGCGAGTTCACACAGGTGAGAGGCTCTATCAATGCAGCAAATGTGGGAAGTTCTTTAGCAGCAAGTCTAACCTCATTCGACACCAGGAAGTTCACACAGGAGCAAGGCCCTATGTGTGCAAGGAATGTGGGAAAGAGTTCAGTCGCAGACACACACTTACTCTGCACCAGAGAACTCACACTGGAGAAAAGCCTTATGTGTGCTGTGAATGTGGGAGAGCCTTTAGCCAAAGTTCCCACCTTATTGTACATGGGAGAATCCATGGCAGTGACTATGAGTGCAGCAAATGTGGGAAAGCCTTTAGCTGCACCTCCAAACTCATTCAGCACCAGAAAGTTCACTCTGGAGAAAAGCCTTATGAGTGTAACAGATGCGGGAAAGCCTTCATTCGAAGGCCAAACCTTACTCGGCACTGGAAAGTTCACACTGGAGAAAGGCCTTATCCATGCAGCAAATGTGGCAAAGAGTTCAACCGTAAACACACGCTTGTTATGCACCAGAAAATTCACTCTAGAGATAAAACTTGAGTGCAGTGAATGTGGAAAACCATTTGGCCAAAGCCATCACATGGAGTAAGGGTTTAGCAGTGCTGTGTCCTTGTTCAATTTGACAAATTACCCAACTGTAAGAGTGAAGCGCTGAGAGTAGTTGTGGAGGGAGCCAGTAGTCAGAAGTGGAAGCTTACATGTGCATATCCACACGGGGGAGATTTCCTGTGAGTACTAAGTGTGTGAGATGCCTTCAGAAACTCATTTCCACTTTCTAAACCACCAAGGACCTTTGCCAGGCTTGGGACTTCAGTACCTGCGGCAGACACCATCCCTTTTCTCCCATCTAGCCAAGTCCCCCAGTGTGTTGTCAGTCACCCCAGCATACTCAGGGTAAGCAGACAGACCCTGTGCTCTCTCCCCAGTCCTAGGAGAAATCATGAAAGATCTCATGGCCCTGGAGGGGCCTTCATTCCCTCCCCTCTGTCTGGTTTAAGCAAGAAAATAATCAGCTTTGCCCCAAAGTATACATGATGGATGCTGCAGGTGGCTTGCAGAGGTTTACCTTCATGGACACTTTTGGTTTCACGTGATGCTCAGTTTGGATGGCATCCACTTGTAGGTCACTCAGCCCTGGAACTGTCTGCCTCCCCTTTCTCTTGTCTGTGCGATAATAAAGGCCTTATTGTTTGAGCTGCCTTTAATCTCTTTTAATTCTGTAGGTTCTGTTCATTGTGTGGCATGTGCTGCACACAGAATTGGGTTCTGCAACTTTTGTGGAAGCCCCAGTTTTCTGTGACTCAGGGGAGATGCTTCAGGTTTGACCTTATTTACAGTGCTGCCCAAGGCTCAGGCTTTGTGGTCCCAGAGGTAACCATGAAGTCACAACATCTTGGTGTTAAGGTCTTTAGAAGTAGAAAGCAACTGGGGACTTGGATTTTAAGCTGGTTCCCAACATATTCATTAGTATTTTCTGAGCATAGTGGGTGCAGTATGTTTCAAATGGAGAGGAAAATGGCCTGGATAGACCCTGAGTTGAGAAGATACCTGTGGGCTTCACGTGGAATTTATAGTAAGAAACAAATGGTGTAAATAATGGAAATGAGCAAATAGATGCCAAACAATGTGAAGTGGATGTGATTTTTGATAATGCATCATTTAATACATCAAAGTATCCTTAATGGGATGGGAGGGGAGGGAAGGATAAATCACTAACTAGAGGCAGACAGCAACTTGTGTGAAGGGGAAGGCAATACACAATAAGGGAGGAATTGGCACAAAATGACCAAGGCAAAGAAAGACACTGGGAAGAGAAGGAAAATATCCTTTGTGATTCTCTATCTTCATCTGATAAAATTCATTAATTAGATGAAAACTAAAGAAAACAGTTTGATCCAAATACTCTCAACTAGTCAGAGCTGCCTCAATAAAGAAATGAATATATCTCACGGGAATCCAGAATCTACATTCTATCCTTGTAAATGTTTGTACAGTTACCCTCTGATAATTATCTTCTAAATACTTGTACAGTTACCCTCTGATAACTGTCTTCTAAGTGTTTGTAATATTGGCGGGTCAAACCCACCAACCACTCCTCGGAAAGATTGGACAATCTACTTTCCTAGAGATACTGCCTTAGAAACCCAAGGAGGGGTTGCCATGAGTCAGAACCAACTCAACAGCAGTGTATTTTGAGTTTCAGTGTTTGTATGGTTATCCTCTGATAATTGTCTTCTAAATGTTTGTATGGTTTCCTCTGATAATTGTCTTCTAAATGTACACTTACCCTTTGATAACTGTCTTCTAAATGTTTGTACAGTTACCCTCATTGATAATTATCTTTTAGAGTTAGATCAGGAAAGAAAGTTAAGAAGCCTCAGCTGGTAAGTTTGCAGATGCAACTATGTCACTTTGAAAATCCCACGTAACTGTAGGTGAGGTGGCATAAAAGTCAAGGAATTTGGCTTGGAGGTTTCCATTTTACCCCACGTTTTTAAAATCTAACATTAGCTTCAATTTGCCAAAGTTTAAAGCAAGTTTGTCCTGATAATTAGGTTGTGACAAAATCTCCTTCTAGTGGGTTGTAGGTTCTCGGCACAGTGGACTAACAGGGTCTGACTTTGACTCCTGCGATAAATGCCTATAAAGCTGGGTAGTAGATGTTGACCCACTTGGATGAAGGAAAGCACAGCAGGTGAGCTCACATCCTCCCTGCCTCTTGGGGAACTTTCCAAGGCTGCTTTGGACAGTGGAGCTCAGAGCACAGGGTGGAAGCAACAGAGATGAGCACCTAGGGCAGTTGTCAGGAAATGAAGCTGGGCGAGTGTGAGGGGAAACCACAGGGCCTGTCAGAGAAGGGCCATGGGGGCTGAGGGCTGGATGGAGGCAGCTCAGTGCAGGAGACAGTAGAATTCTGATGCCCTGGCCAGAGGGCAGAGCTTCCCTGAGCAGCAGGGCCTTCAAAGTGGAGACCTCAGAGTCGCAACACACATTAGGAGGGACATGTTGCACATAGCAGTGGTGTCACTAAAGGCAAGGGAGGAATGTGTGCACAGCGAGTGACACTGTCAGGGAGTGGCATCAAAATGACAAATTTGGTGGGGCGGAAATTTGTTTTATAAAAATATGCCTGTAGTTATAACAACAATTTTTTGTAAGCCCAGCTTAATGTATCAGTGTACCTATAAGGCTAAAACTCTGTTAATTTACTTTTGAAACTTCTGATGCATTCAGTCAGAGCTGTCATTAATACCCAATTACAGTGATGTTTCAAATCTCATGGCGGTGTCTGCACCAGCTACAATCATGCTCTTGTTTTTGTTGCTGCCAGTGTTATTATAGTCAGTGATTTTGTCACATTGTCTGACATTTTAACTACAATATTGTGTTAATTAGTACTTATGAACCTATCTCAATAACTTTTTTCAAAATGAAGTAGTAATTCAAGAAAAAGGAGAAAACTCAAAAAAGCCTTCTGCTCAGTTACTAATGTTGTAACTACTAATGCTGTAATTCAGTGTAGGAGGATTTTACAAAATAATTTTGTTATTCATATTATCTAAGAAATATTACATGTAAGCACTTTATAACTGTATCACTTATTCTGTGGTTGCACCACTTGTCTTTCAGTTTGATGCACTGTGGTGTCTTGTGTGTTGCTGTGAGGCTGGAAGCTGTGTCACTGGTGTTTCAAACACCAGCAGGGTCACCCATGGTGGACAGGTTTCAGCAGAGGCTCCAGACTAAGACAGATTGGGAAGAAGGATATGGCCAAGTCCACTTCTGAAAACAAGGAAAAAAAAAAAAAAAGCTGCTGAAAACCTTATGAGTAGCAGGGAAACACTGTCTACACAGTGCCAGAAGATGAGACCCTCAGGTCGGAAGGCACTCAAAATGTGACTAAAGAAGAGCTGCCTCAGAACAGAGTCAACCTTAATGATGTGGATGGAGTACAGCTTTTGGGATGTACGTTTGCTGATGTAGCATAACACAAAATGAGAAGAGACAGCTGCTGCTTGTTGTTAGGTGCCATCGAGTTGTTTCCGACTCATAGCGACCCCATGCAAAGCAGAATGAAACACCGCCTGATCCTGTGCCAGCTTCATGATCCTTGCTATACTTGAGCCCATTGTCACAGCCACTGTGTCAGTCCATCTCGTTGAAGGCCTTGCCCTCTTTCGTCGACCCTCCACCTTACCAAGCATGACATCATTCTCCAGGGAATGGCCCCTTCTGACAACATGACCAAAGTAAGTGAGATGAAGTCTGGCCATTCTCGCTTCCAAGGAGCATTTTGGCTCCTTGGACAACTGCAGACATCCATTAATCATTGGAATGTGGAATATACAGACTATAAATCTAGGAAAATTGAAATTTGTCAAAAATGATGAAATGCATAAAGATCAATATTCTAGACATTAGTGCACTGAAATGGACCAATATTGGCCATTTTGAATCAGCCAGGCATAAGGTCTACTATGCCAGGAATGACAAAGAGGAACAGTGTCACATTCATCATCAAAAAGAACATTTCAAGATCTATGCTACAGAACTTCCAGAAAGATGGCAGAATAGGCAGACAAGTTACACAGACTTCCCCAAAAAGAAAAGAGAAACCAATTGACAGATACAAAAGATAATCCTGGAGCCCTGGGCTTTGAAAGGAAGTATACAAAAGTGGATTAGGCACCAACTAGTGGAAGAACCTGAATGAAAACAGGACCTAAAATTAGGCTCTGCTTTCCAAGGACAGAAGGGACATACAGGAAGCTGACAACAGTAAAGGAGTGTATATAAGTGTATGTATAAGTGCTGCCAACTAGCGAACAGAGGAGCACAGAACCTGCTAACTTAGTTAACATTCCAAAGAAAACAAAAATCTTGGGCAAATCACTCCACCATACCATCACCATTTAAGAACACAAAAAGTCACAATGTTTGAGAGACAACAGAGCATCACAGTCCACACAAAGAAGCAAGATAAAGCAGGAGAAACAAGGGATGAGGATACAGACCCAGAACACATCCCTGAGGAAGCAGCAGCACTGAAATCCCCGATAAAGAATTGAAAATAATTACATTTAGGTACTGTTCTTGTTATCTAGTACACTCTGACAAGAATATACCACAAATGGGATGGCTTTAAGTCCAAGTTCAAAGTGCCAGGTTCTAGGGGCTGGGTGAAAGCTCCTTAACCTTGGGTTGCAGTTCTGCCTCCTGCTTCCGGCCCACTGAAGCTGGAGGCTCTTTTTCACTCAGCTGCTGGCTGCTGAGGCTGACAAATCCAAGGTTGACAAGTAAAAAGGCACAGTCCCGATGTTACAAACCACACAGCAGGCCATAAGTCAAGTCTCTTGAAAGTCCCAAGGTCGGCAGAGGATGGCAGGCTGCTGAACAACGACATGGCTACGTACAGGGTTCAAGCATGTCATAGGCTAGAGACCATTCCCAAAGCTGTTTCTTACATACGGGAAGCAGACCACATACCCAAAGGCAGCTATTCAGCTGCTCAGTAGATTCCACCATGGAGTTGATTATCA